CTGCATCCTCCATCCTTCACCCCACATCTGCACCCTGCATCCTCCATCCTGCATCCTCCATCCTTCGCCCCACATCTGCACCCTGCATCCTCCATCCTGCATCCTCCATCCTTCGCCCCACATCTGCACCCTGCATCCTCCATCCTGCATCCTCCATCCTTCGCCCCACATCTGCACCCTGCATCCTCCATCCTGCATCCTCCATCCTTCGCCCCACATCTGCATCCTCCATCCTCATCCTGCACATCTGCATCTTGCATCCTCCTTCACCCCACATCTGCACCCTGCATCCTCCATCCTGCGTCCCCATCCTGCCCCCATCTGCATCCTCCATCCTGCACATCTGCATCTTGCATCCTCCATCCTTCACCCCACATCTGCATCCTGCATCCTGTGTCCTCATCCTGCACCCCACATCTGCATCCTCCATCCTCTAGCCTGCATGCTGTAGCCACATCGCACATTTGTATCCTCCATCCTGCATCTGCATCCTGCCCCTCACCTCTGCATCCTCTACCTTGCACCTGCACCCATCTGCATCGCGCATCCACATCCTGCACCCCCTGTCCTGCATCCTGCATTCTCCATCCCACATCCAGCATCTGCATCCTGCACCCTGGATCCTGCCCTGCACACCTGCACCCTGCATTCTCCACCCTGCACCTGCATCCCGCACCCGCATCCTGCCACCCTGCACCCCATCCTTCATCCTGCACCCTGGATCCTGCCCTGCACACCTGCACCCTGCATTCTCCACCCTGCATCCGAACCGTGCATCTGCACACCCACACCTGCATCGTGCACCCTCTACCCTGCCTCCCGCATCCCACAGCTGCGCCCTGCTCTCCTGATGGGCCCTAACGGGTGCTAATGGCCCCGAGCAGCCTCACCAGGACCCCCCCACCCTGCCCCTGTCCGGGGGTGCTATTTAAGCTCAGCCCAGGAGCACCATAGCAGATGGAGCTGGGCAGGGTGTAGCACCTGGGGTGTGAGAAAGCACTGGCCCGTGCTGGGAAAGGGGCTGCAGCTGCCTTCTGGATTTTGGACGGAGGGAAGCGGCCCGGGGTGTTTCTTGCAAGCAGGTGCCGAGCCGGCCGGGGAGGCTGCCGGTGCATCTCCATCCTGTGCGTCTGCACCCAGCTCTCGCAGCCAGCAGCTGCACCCACGTCCTGCATCCGACTCTGCCGTGTATCTTATCCTGCGTCATGTATCCAAATCTGCCATGTCCGGCACGGCACATTTGCCTCCATGTCCCGTGTCCTGCCCGTCTGCGTCCTGCACCGTGCCTGCGCATCACATCCCGCGCCCACATCCTGCACCGTGCCTCTGCATCCGCGTCTTGCATCCTCCCCCGAATCTGCATCTTGCACCCCACGTCCTGCACCCCAACCCGCATCACTTACCCTGCCTTGCATCCAAATCCGCCGCATCCCGTGTGGCACCTCTGCAGCCACGTCCCATGGCTCTGTGCCCCGCGTCCCGCACTGTGCATCCGCGTCCCGCACCATGCATCCGCGTCCCGCACCGTGCCTCTGCGTCATGTCCTGTGCCCACATCCTGCACCGTGCCTCTGCGTCCACATCGTGCGTCTGCATCCTTCCCTGCATCTTGCACCCCGTGTCCTGCACCCCAACCCCATGTCATGCACCGTCTTGTGTCCAAATCCACCACGTGCAGCCACGTCCCGTGTCCTGCGCCTGCGTCCCGCGCCTCTGCCCCTCGCGTCCTGCACCGTGCACCCGTGTCCTGCATCCTGCACCGGGCACCTGCGCCCCATCCTGCACCGGGCATCTGCGTCCGAGCCCTGCACCCGCGTCCCGCACCCCAGGCCTTGCAGCCGCCCCCAGGGGCCGCCGAGGAGGAAGAGGAGGCCGAAGGCAGGAGGCCGGGAGCGGCCTTGCGACACCTCGGCCCCGCGGCCAG